CCCCCCCCCCCCTAACTGCAACCCCCCTCTGCTTCCGCCTTCTCCCGCACTGTCATCATCTGAAGATATGACGAACGCGGTAGCACCTGGGCAACCACACAGGCGGACTTACACTGCAACCGCCTTTCGGCCTTCTCCCGCACTTGCATCATCGACCAATCAATAACATGCCACCTTCCCCCCCAATCACCTCAAGACAGCCTGTAATGGCCACAACTAATCCAGGGACCCATTAAACCGGTCCTCGTTCCACATTGATGGACAATGATGTCATTAACAGAGTACGAAGCAGAGCGAATCAAGAAAAGGTTGCGCGTCCCAACTACTCCTTTCCCGTCGTTAGGAAAGAGGCAAACGGCAGCTTGCGCGTGGAGATGGCACCTCGTCTCCATGAAGGAGACCCATCGACAGCAAGGATGAGAGGGAGCATGACAAAAGAGAGGAGAGATATGCGAAGGTGAATAAGAGAGCGGAGGGAGTACAGATCCCCTCTTATTCCTTTGAGAGAGGAACAACCAGAACCGAGTACAAGAAGAACCCTCTCGTGCACGTCGAGTTGTTCACACTGTTGCTGCGGCCAAGCAAACCGAACCGAGTACAGAAAACTAACCACCGGTGGGCGGCGCCCAGAATCTAGGCCACAAACGGCGTCATCTCGATACAACGCCCGACTGTTATTGCCCCCTTTGCCATTTCATTCGAAGCAAGGTGCGCAGCAGAAGACCGATGGGCGGCGCCTATGCCTGCTCACTAGCGTATTGTCTCCCTCCATCATCAATCGTTCCCTCCTTCCCTCCTCTCAAGCCGTCCTCTCGTCTGGCTGGAAAGATATTACAGATAAGATGCAACGAATAAACAATCGTGGAAACACTCAGCTCACAATCTGGGAGCTGCAGCCAGCTCCACGAATGGCATTTCCCCTTCCCCTTCACGCCGGCCATAGCCCCACCACCGCATCGCGTCTCCTGCTCATTGCTTCACAATTCCATCCTCCCTGGGGACTTAGCGTAATCCTCGAACGTCCTCCAGATTGATCACTCCTCTCTCTCTCTCTCTCTCTCTCTCTCTCTCTCTCTCTGGGGACAAGCAATGCAACCAACGGCTATGGCGGACATTCAACACAGAGAATGGGAGAGGGATAGACAGGGAGACAGAGAGAGACAGAGAGAGACAGAGAGAGACAGAGAGACGCGGAGGGCTCAACCAGACCGAGACAAGCGGGGCCGAATCTACCGGAGCCCCGATGAACCAAGGCCCCCCTTCGTCGCAGATTACACTAGTCCAGGGCTGCTACCGTAGGCCAGAGCCGTCGCCTTCCTCCATCGAGCTCACTCACAGACAGGGACAGCACCCGTGCCGCCGGCCTCCCCACGCTCCAACACCAGGGCCCCCGATTGCCCTCCCATCTACCCCCTCGTGAGGCCTCCGCCTTCCCTAGTGGCAGCCAAGGCCAAATGCGCGCGCGCACAAGCCAGCTCCCGCCTTCCCTCTCGCTTCAGTTTCGATTTCGCCGATTTCCCAATGGCGCGCGCGCAACGGTAGCTCTACTGCTACTCGCCATCGGCCAAGATGACGAATGCACCTCGACAGCGCCGTTGTCCGGATGCATTCGAGAAGTTGGCGGATGGTGAGTGGTGCAACTACTGCGTACGGCGGTAGTAGCCATTGTTCGCTAGTAGCTTGGTACTTCCTCCCGACGCCCACCCGCATGGTTATTCATCCTTGACCGTAGATTGTGAAGATCCATGGCCAGGGACGAAGAACCTCAGCCAACTACGTAGTAGAGGTTCGTAGCACCACCACGAGGTAGGTCGCACGTGCGGCACTTGCGCAGTCTCTTCATTCCTGACCGTTGGATTACCCAGATGCACGGCCAGATACGACGAACCTCAGCGCCCGGCGGCAGAAACTCCTGTTTCGTCACCCGCGCGCCCGCAGCGCGCGCCGCTCTGGACACCCTCTCCCTCGCATCCCGCCCAATTGACCGTTGGTGCGCAATTCACGTCACGACGTGGGCTACCGCCGTGTCGTACTCGTGGGCCCGGCGTCTCTACTACCGCGGGGGCGGCGCGGGGCGGGGCGAGGCGGGGCGGGGCGGGGCAGGGCGGGGCGGTGCTGCTCGTGGCCCCGCCCGCCGAGCGGCCAAGATGCCCTGGAACCCCTGACAGGCGTAAATGTGACGAGGCGCACCGGGGAGCGTAGCGACGAGCGCGGGACGGAACACCTTTTTTTTGAAATTTTTGAAAAATGTAGGGAAAAACAAAAAACAAAAAAAAACAAAAGTAGGGAACGACATATCAATGGGGGCGGCAAGTGATGAGTGTGCAGGCCCTCGCCCCACAACTCGTGCAAAATAGACAACGTACAGTTGTGGAGAACGTGGAAACATGCACTCATTTCCCAAAAAACAAAAAAAAAAGAAACATGCACTCGTGGCAGCTTTTGTCTTTTCACATTTGTTTCGTGCACTTGACCCACTACTCTGCACATGCGCAAAACGAGAGTGAATATTTCGCTAGAACATGGAAGTATACACCGCCATGATTTTTGTCTTTTGTTGCATGTCGAGGGTAGTGGAGCGAGCGAGGCCCATATTCGCTGTAGGCTTGTCGAAACACAGAAGAATGTGGTTGAATGGTGCCGACGGGCCTACTGGTAGCTCATATGTGGTACACCCCTGAACTGTTGAGATGCAACCCTCGGTTCGAAGCGTAGATGGAATGTAATGAGTAAAATAATTCTGAATTTACGTTGTCCCGAATGAACCCGGACGATCTGGAGATCAAATACATTCATCCTTACCCCGTTCACCCGGGCATAAGATTGTTCAATGCGGGCGAAGAAGGTAGCATGCCCTTCCTGTCGAAGGGCTTCGCCACACCACACTCGAAATGTGAAAAAGACAAAAATGTGGCGGGTGCATCTGGGCATGTTCTAGCTCGAAGTTCATTCTGATACTGCATACTTCTAGAGTGGTGTGGCGATGCCCGGAGGGCTCAAATGCTGGGTGTGTTTAATCTTCTGTGACATGCGTAATCTTCCGTGACATGCATGTTCCACTCACCGCCAGGGCTGAATGGCTCCATCATTGTGCTAAGATAGCACGCACCGAGACAACGTGCATGACTAAGTTCCTGGTCCCTTGGCAGGGACGTCCATGTTTTGAATGGCGACCGAGCTCGGCTGGTCACAGCCGAAATTTCCATGGGCAGTGTGCCCGATCGACGGCCGCGCTCCACTACTCACCAAATGTGCAAAATGAGAACGAATCTCTCCGTAAAACATGGAAAGATGCACCGCCGTCTTTTTCGTCCTTTGTGCGTGTGGTCAGCAGCGTCCCCGATCGAGGGCCCAATTGACACCGCGAAGGCCTACAGTAGCTCCCTAACTGATGGTAGGTTTGTGTAACCCACATAGTGTGGTGTGAGTTCGAACCCTGTGCACACTATGTCCACTTGATTTGATTTCGTTTAGTGAGTGATCGCACAGCAAAGCCCGGTACGGACAGACCCTCGCTCTTCCCACTCACCCCGCTGCGCAACTCACGAAATCTGCAAAATGAAGAATGTATGTCGCCCAGAGCATTGTTTTTTTACTTTTCACAGTCGTTCCAATTTTAACGAATGTCCCAAATGTCCCGCCACA